CTCTACTTGTGCTGCCAGATGTGCTTTCTCCCTGTCTTTTCGCTCCATGCTCCGTTTCACTTCCTCTAACTCAGACGCCATTGCACTGAAGTTCAGCTGCACTCTCAAATCTGACATCTGCTTCTCCAGATCCTGTTTTTCCCGCTCAACCCCTTAAAAGACAAAATGTGAAGTTAAACAGTTGTTCTTTATTCACAGGAGAATGTACTTTCAAATAGTACTGAGCCCTGGTGTTTCCATATTCTAGCCAACGTAATACATTTATTGACACTGTTACTCAACAGATTTTACCAGCCTGTTGTCTCAAGTTTTACAGTTTTCAAAAACATATGCATTGCTATGTCATCAAATATTATTCCAGTTTGATACTAAAACTTAAAATGTTACCTGATTTCTACTGCAATTTATTTCAAGAAAATCATACACAATTTTTAATTTAATTTTCCTCACACCTCTACACTATCTCCAAACAGTAAAACAAAAATACAAAGAGTTTTCAACTAAGCTACTTCATCTACAGAATATTTTCTTGCAACATAAACAAAAAAATGATGCTGTTAAATTTCTGATTGTGTATGACCAACCAATTTACTAATCCTTACTAATCTGGAGATTATTCCCTAAAATTAATATATAATTTAACAATATAAGTTGACTGAGTATTTAAATCAACATGAAATACTTGATCTATGATACACAGGGCACTATAATACCGCCTTCTAATATAAGGACAAATAATACAGAAATTCATACTCAATGAGCTTACATCCTGATGTGGTTTGGCTGTATCCCCACCCAAACCTCATCTTGAATTATAGCTCCCATAATTCCCACATGCTATGGGAGGGACCAAGTGTGAGGTAATTGAATCATGGGGGCAGCTCTTTCCCATGCTGTTCTCATGATAGTGAATGAGTCTCACAAGATTTGATGGTTTTATAAAGGAGAGTTCCCCTACATAAGCCCTCTTGCCTGCCACCATGTAAGATATGCCTTTGCTTCTCCTCTTCTCCTTTCCCTTCCATCATTATTGTGAAGCCTCCCCAGCCATGTGGACCTATGAGTCCACTGAATCTCTTTCCTTTACAAATTATACAATCTCAAGTGTGTCTTTATTAGCAATGTGAGAACAGGCTAATACACATCCCAAGAATAGAGACAAAATATAAATTGCTTTATGGAGTCTAAAATGTCAACAATTGGAACATAAACTGTCACTTTAAAACTACTATCTTTCTAGTAGTTTTCTTTCCAGAAAAAAAAAAAGGAAGAGAATGAAAGAAGAAAACACTAACAAATCAAATTTATACATCATTCGTAAAATACATTCCAACTTCAGAATATTAGTGTTCAAAATTATACATGTTAGAATGTAAGACATATGAGCATTTCAATAGGATGATAAGATCACTAATAGATACATGTGGATTATACAGAAACAGTACAAACAGGAAAAGGGATTAGCTCCATCTCAGTGAGGAACTAATGGTAGGAAGAACAGAGATATAAGTCCGACTCAAGGAATGAATACCAAATTTCACCAAGCAAAGGAGAAGAAGTTGGGGTGCATTTAGGGAAAGAACATACTACAAAACATACAAAAGGTACAAAAGGTACAAAATTGAATTTCATATTCAGGTAATTGCACACACAGCAGTTTGTTTTCTTTTTAGACAGAGTTTCGCTCTTATTGCCCAGGCTGGAGTGCAGAGGCACAATCTCGGCTCACCACAACGTCTGCCTCCCAAGTTCAAGCAATTCTCCTGCCTCAGCCTCCTGAGCGGCTGAGACTATAGGTGCCCACCACCATGCCCGGCTAATTTTTGTACTTTTAGTAGAGAGGGGGTTTCACAATATTGGCCAGGCTGATCTCCTGACCTCATGATCTGCCTGCTTTGGCCTCCCAAAGTGCTGGGATTACAGGTGTGAGCCACCGCACCTGGCCCCACAGTAGTTTTAAGCAGCTAATACATCTCAAATGCTATCAGCGTGGGAGAAAGGAGAGTCAATAGAGTTTGTGTTGCTAGGAAACTTAGAATTTATTCTACAAACCAAGTGTCAGCAAACATTTTCTATAAAGGATCAGATAATAAATATCTTAGCTATATGACTTCTGTCACAACTAGCCAATTCCACCATTATATTGCAAAAATAGCCTAGACAGTGCATAAATGAATGGGAGTAGCTGTGTTCCAATACAGCTTATTTACAAAAACAGGTGGCATTCTGGATTTGGCCCATTAGCCCTATTTTCCCTACTTCTGATAGTTCTCCAACCTGCAAATGTACATATTTATCTATTTGTAAATGAATTTGTTCATTTTATAAACATATATTTTATTTATATATATGTGTAGTGTATGTATATTTGTGTGCATATAACTTATGTCTCAGTAATATGTATATATCAATACATGTTTCCTGATATATATACGTGGATATAACATTAGAATGAAGATATTATATAAAATATGAAAGCATGTATATATATATATATATATATATAGGTATACTTTATGAAACATATATTTGATATGGAGACATTTTGGTATGTTTACTTATATATTCATATATACTACTAAAGATAAATATACACATACATCTATACATACACACATGTAGTATATGTAATGAAACATTTACCAAAGTTAAAAATATTTAAAACAAAAAGTATAAAATATAAACAGTATTACAAATACTCCATTTTGGAGAATGCTTGGTCAGTATAGGATAGCAGTTGAGATCTCCAGTTTGGCAAAAGAATAACTGGAGTCAGCTGCTTCCCTCATGTGTGATCTTGGGCAAGTGACTCAACCTATTTATTCTCAGGCCCTTTTTTAAAAAAAAAATCATTAAAATAGAAATAAGAAATAAGAATAGTGTCCTTTAGTAGTAGAAAAGAAAATAGATTACAGAGAAGCCAGAACAGTAAGACAAGAGAATACTACATGTCCTATACTGACTCAAGCATGCTTAAGCTGGGGCAATGAGAATAAGAAAAAGAATGTAGCAAATCCAAGAGCTATCAGGATGTATAAATAGGCATGAGGTAAAGACTAATTAGAAAGAGGAGAGAATAAATCATTTCTATATTCTTTGCAATTTAGGCTTGGATGTCTGGATGGAGGATGATGTTATACACTAAGACATCAAAGAAAAACAGATTTTGAGGAGAGGATGAATTTAGCTGTTTATCTGTTGATCTGTAAATATCAGAGCATTCTGAGGAACAGTATATGAAGATAGCCAATGACCAACTCCATCTGGAGGTCCAAAGGTTAGGAGAGCAAACAGAGTTAAATTTAGGAATTATCACTTCTAGGTGATAATTTTTAATCAATTCCCAGGCAGAAATACTAAGTAACAAAAGCCATGAGTAAAATACTAGGCAAAACCAACATTTAAAGGACAAATTGTGAACACAGCCAAAAGATTCAAATACAAAGAATGTAAGGCAGAAGTAGGAAAGGCCAGGGGCATGGAAGTCAGAGGAATCATTTCAGGAAGGAAGAAAAAGTAAGCAGGTGACAGTAAAATAAGCAACAAACGATCTCCTTGGAATTGACGGAGGAGATTGCTAGCAAACCACACAAAGTCAATTTCACAAATAGAGGTGGAACCCATTTGGCAGTGGGCAGAGGAAGAAATAGCAGGTGAAAACGGGTAAGTATGATTTCTAATGTAGAACTGTCTTTAAATAATGTAAGTATTCTGTAAAGATGAAAAACTCTACAATTGTTAAAAGGTGATGATGTCCATTATCACATACATAAAAGAGCTTCCAAAATTTTTCCATACCTGATAAGTAGTTAAGAAAAGCTCAACATTTTTCAGTCCTCAAAGACTTACAACAAAAATAATTACATTTTATGAGGTATCAATACATGTAACACGTGTTGGATCTTTTTTCCAACAATTTCCATGTGTATCTTTTATGAAATTTGATGAAGAATCTAATAGCTTAGGATCTTTTAAAAATAAGTGATATTCTGATATTTAAATTATATCACATGAAACTTAATGGCATAGAACTAAAAATACACTATGGTTTGGATATAGCGTATTTGTCCTCACCAAATCTCACGGTGAAATTTTATCCCCACTATGGCTGTGTGAGTAGATGGGGCCTAGTAGGAGGTGCTTTGGGTCATGGAGATAGATCCCTCACTAATAGCTTGATGTCCTTCTTGTAGTAATGAGTGAGTTCTTGCTCTCCTGAGACTGACTGGTTCTCAAGGGAACTGGTTAGTTCACACAAGAGTGGGTTGTTAGAAAGCCAGTACATTCCCTGAATTTGATCCCTCTTTACACATGCCCACTCCCCATTTGAACTTCTTTGCCATATTTTGATGGAGCATAAAACTCCTCACCAGAATTCAAGCAGATGCTAGAGCCATGCTTCTGGTACTGCCTACAGAACTGCAACCTAAATAAAGCTCTTTTCTCTGTAAATTATCCAGCCTCAGGTATTCCTTTAAGGTAACACAGAACAGACTAAGAAAACATATTAGAATAGCTTTGTCAAAATTTGTCATCCAATGAAGATTTTCTGGCAATGTGGAAATTCTAGCTTAGGCAACATATGGAGTTGTCTTTGGAAAGCCCGGGGCAACGTTTGCCTTCCCTGAATTCAATAGTACATCAAACACTTGTAAGAATTTTGCCAATAATTTGAGCATTTGAGTAGAACGTCTCATTATTGGAATAACACAGAAGCTAAGCAATGTGAACTCACCTAATATAAACCATTATATATAATCTCAAAATTACCATTACTAATCCTGAACATACCTCCAGCCATTAAATTCCATAACTTAAATTAATACCTCCACTGAGAAAGTATCCTAACACTTTTCAAACACAAAGTGTTCCTAGTTCACATAAAAAGCCAGCGATACTACTCATAACCACTTCCGAGGTGTGATTACTTTTTATCACCAACTCCAGATAACAAAAAAGAGAGGGTCTTAACTTTAATTTCTCACATATTGAAAACTGAAATAAGAGAATGTGAAAAAGAGTGACATTTACAATTTAAGTACAAAGACTGGTACACACGCAAATATATGCACATATATTTGGGCATGGGGATAGGAGGCTGAAAAAACTACTGCTTTTGCAGGCTCTAAGAGAAAGCCCTACGGTTAAATAGGTCTAATAACCAAAACGGGTTTGAACCAAGCAGGGAAGATATTAAAATATGATGATGCTAAATTATTATCAACTTATCAGAAAATTTTTAATAGATCAAGTAAAGTATGATGTGAGCATCAAAAAGGAATACAATTCTGAGGATGAAAAGTATTTCCTAAGAAAGACCAAAAAGCTCCCACACAAATTACCACATTATTAGGTATAAATCTGCAATTTACCTCTCCTAAACCTCCAGTCCTCCCCTTGTTCATCCTGATAGTTTGACTGTTGCTTGGAAATCTGAGATACTTGATTCTGTAAACCTTTTCGATCACCCTCTGCTTTCGTAAGTTGTGTACGCAGTTCTTCTACCTAAATACATAGTCAAAAGTCAAACATCAGTTTTCACAATCAGAAAAAGATTTACTTCATATGGGCTATTGTAAACACAAGTTGAATCCAGGTTAATTTCCTTCCAAGCATAGTGGAACGGTTTCCTGCTCCATTTCCTCATTCCTCTCATTTCGTCCACAAAGAATAAATGAATGCTTTTTCCTTCTCTGTGTCCGTTGTGGCAAAGAAAGTGACCAGATTTTTTTTAATCACTTATTTTGTCCTCAGTCTACTCCATTACTAATAACCGAAACCACCTTCAATTAAGTATTACTGTTTTTATATTTTTCTGTTTTCACCCATTTGCTTTGATATGAACATGGTCTCCTGGTTGCTAAATTCAAGAGAAATAATCGTGACTTAGAGTATTTTGATACTAACATGCTCAAAATAAGTATGCAACAGATGCTGTTGAATAAACTCTAAACTCCTTGAAGTCAGGGACTGATTTGTTCATCTTTTTATCCTTAGAGTACCAAATTACCTAGCACATAGCAGGTACTTCCAAATGACCATTAAACACATTAGCAACGGCAAAAAGATTCAGCTGAATCACAAGGACAGTCTAAACAAAGAAATCCCTTGCTTCAAAAGCTGAAATTGGAGATTTTAAGTCAGAGTTCCAAACAAATCAGAATGGAATTAAATACAAATATAAACTTCCAAAAAGGAAAGTTTGAACTCTGCCAAAATTAATTCCATGTGACCACTGGCTGCAGAACAAAGTCAGTGAATATTTTCAAAGGTTTTGTAAAACAGGTGCTATCTTCTATTTTCAGCACCAGTTGTCAGAACGTAACACTCCTTCTGAACATCTATAAGGCTTGACATCTTTGCCTACCACTAGCATATTCTAAAGGTGAGTTATATAACACACACTACAAAACAGAAGAAAGTATAATTGCAGTTTGTTTTAAACACAGAGAGGCATATAGAAACTCATAAGCCCTTATCCAACTGTATGTAAGATGGTTATTTAAAGTTATTGAACTTTAAACATCAGAAGCACCAAACTCCCATTATGGACTGATAGAATGCAAAATGTTATACTTAAAAATCAAGCCTTATCTTTGGTTAAAAGGGTCAGGTAGTATCTTGAAAACATGAATTAAAGACAATGACATATTCAAAGTAAACTGAACATGCAAAGGTCTCTTTTATGTAGTTTACTTCTTCCTTTACTTTCCAATGCCTCCTGGAATAAAATTAAGTTCCTGAGTAAATTTTATCTTATACATTCAGTCTTACTTTTACACCACTCATGCTAAGAGAGATAAGTAATAAGTTGTACCAGCAATCAGCAAGATACGCTGTCACAGTGGGGACTTTGGCTGGTGTTTGTACTAGCTTTCTCTGAATTTCCCTGAAAGAATTTTATCTTTTACTTAGGTCTACTAATATACATTCCTTAGGAAAAAAAATTTCTAGACCAAGGGATTTTTTTTCCTTTCACAAAGACATTTAAATACAACTACTCAATCCTGATTTAATGTAAAAGTATATTATAATAGTTTGCATAGACTTACCTGATACAAAAGTGTTTCTCTGTTGCCTTCTGATTGGTTCAATAACCTTCGAGATAACTCCAATTCCTGTTCAAGCTAGAGTTTCAACAAAGGATAAAGAAAAATGTCCAATGGAGCAGAAGATAACTAAATTATTATGGGCACAGTTTAAAAGAAAAAAAGTGGAAAAGTTTTCAGAAGACATTTACAGCTAATGTAAAAGAATAAATATCTTACTATGAACATTTATTCATACTTCCATTAAAATAATGTTAATTGTATAACATAAAGTGAACTAGACCAGGCCTCAGGAAGTCTGGGATGTGGTAAGTTTCATCTCGACTGTGAGCCAGTCCAAGTCTCTTCTCCTTAGGCCTCCATTCTGTCATCTCTAAAGTAAGAATTTTATATTAGACAGTCTCTGAGATCCCTTCCAGTTCTAAATCACTTTAATCTAAATCCTAAGGCAATTTTTTCTTTAAATTAGAATATGTAGTGTCAAATGAACTAAATTAGAATAAAAACTGCAGGGAACCAATGGCTCAAAAGTTTCATCTAATTGGTGATTTCCTATATTCCTAATATTTCTACTATTCATAAGACATTCCTTAAAATTTAAACGTCTAAATTCAGAATGAGACATTTAAATTTTCTTTAATGATAATGCCATTAGATAAATATCTATAAAAAATGTGACTAGTCAGGTGACTAAATATTCTACAAACTCCTAATATGCCTAGATGATTTCACGTTGAAACGTAATAGGATAGAACACAAGTTTGTTAAAAAATTTGGAGCTTATATGTGATAGACTTGTTTGTATTTTGTAACAGTAAGGTTGTTTCATAAAAATCACACATTTATATTAGGACACTTGTAAGTGCTTATACTTAAAATACTTATCCTAAATTATTGTTTCCATTGAACAAATGCTATCTGTATATTAATCCTTTCTTAACTGTACATGTGGTAGGTGTGCCTGTGAAAGAGCATAAGGGAACCTTGTGGTGATGGAACAGTTCTGTATCCTGATGGTGGTAGTGGTAACAAGAATCTATACAAGATAAAAATGGATAGAACTTCACACACACACACACACACACACACACACACACACACACACAAATGAGTATATATAAATTTGGTGAAATCTGTATAAACTAAGTAGATTGTACCAACGCCAATTTTCTGGTTTTAATATCGAATGGCAATTATGCAAAAATGTTACCATTGAGGGAATCTGGGTGCATGGGACCTCTCTGTGGATCTTGTTTTACACTATCCTATAAATCTGTAATTATTTCAAAATGTATCTTTAAATCCCATTATATAATTTTTTAAAAATTATACCTGTGGCTCATAAAAAATAGTCACATTAAAGAAAAAGTAAAGTATATGTGGGAATCACAGAATCCATACCAAATACCATCTGACCTGTTGTTTGGTCTCTATGGAGAAATAGAGGGAAGAGACTACACTTCAAGCAAAATGACTTTGAAATCAACCAAAGACCATGTTGGTCATAATTCCTGTGTAATTTCTACATCGCAACTCCCAAAGGGCAAATTTAATGACCTAACATACTTTGCTTACTCTAAAAGCAGAAGGGAAGCTGCCTTTACATGAGTTGGTGAAATAAAATAAAGGAGGTGATGGTAGGTAGAAAACAGCGATATGGAGTACAGAACAGGGCAAATTTTCACTTCACCATTCATTACTTTGATTCATCCTTAAGTCTACTTATTCGCAAATTAAGGAAGCGGGGTTTGGCCTCTGCATTCCTTTCTAACTCTAAAGTGCTAAACTCTATGTATTCATAGACATGAACACACAGTTCATAAACATTAACAGGTATCAAAGGTGTCTATTTTAATAGAAACAGAAAATGTTTTCAGAACTGGGCTGCTAACTCTATCTGTCCACTAAAATGAAAATGAATATAATCAAAATATTCAGGTCTCCAAATGACAGGTCTTTTCTAATCCTGCAACAAAGTTCTTTAAATGTTTCCAACAAGGAAAAAGTAAAGTTTAATGCACCTCTCAGAAAGGACAGTGGTCACAGATGACAAGGTAGCAAATGACTTGCATATCTGTTTCCAAGAGCAAGTGCTGGAGTAAAAGAAGTATTGAACCAATTGACTCCTCTCTGAAAGATAAAGACCTCAAACTGTTCTAAAGGATCCTGGGGACACTTTTCAAGGCACTCCACAAATACCACTGGCCCAAACCACTGTATTCTTTGAAAGATAACTTTCAATATCTTACTTGATTCTTCTCAGTTTCAGTTTGTCTTAGCTTATTTTTTATGGCCCCTTCATTCTCATCTGCTTTAGCTTCTTGTTTCTTCAATGCCTGGAACAAAAGAGGTGGAAAAAAATTATCCCAAAATATGTATAAAACTGAAAGTCACTAGTAGAATTTATTATGTGTTAGGACTGAGGAAGACATGGATATCAGTTACACAAAATCTATAAATAAATTACAACCTGCTCATTCACTGTAGCCCTAAGAACACTTCAGTAAAGATAAAATACCAACAATTCTTGATCATCCTAATTAATATTCACATCATTTCCTTTTTTCTCCATTTTTGGGAATTTTATTACATTATTTACAGAGCCTAGATAGCTAATGGTTTTCTTGGAAACAAATCTTCTTTTCTACAATTCCCCCTCTTTAATAAAATGAGGAAAAAGAAAATAGACATTTCAAAAATTAACTACAAAAGTGTTTATTTTGGTTTGTTTCTACGTTAAAACAAACTTAAAGGGAAAAAATCATACTTGGAACTGTCATAACATCTGAAATGCATTCCATTGTTTAAAAATATTTTTTAACAATTTTAGTGTTTAGACTTAGTAAGGTGTATGTGTAAAGTCCATATGACTTGTGAACAGCCACGCTGCCAGAAGCTTTTACCAACAAGATCAACAGAAGAACAATTTTCGGGCAAACAGCAAAATATATTAAAAATTGCTTTAATGCAAGTTTACTCCATCATAATTCAATAATCATAAACTGCCATAATTCCCACTCTCAAATAGCAATTGAGTAAAAAGGCAGAGAAGCATCAACAAAATGAAAAATAATTATGATTTAAGAACAATATTACCACATTTTTATAGTGTTTAGTATTCCCATGCTTCTTCTTCTTACATGTAATAAATAAATATGTTACATATATTCAAAATATACATTTAATCCTCATGATGATTCCATGAGTTATTATTACACTAAGCCCATTTTATTAACGGGGAAATGGGAGCACAAGTGGTTGAATAATTTGCCTAACATCACTCACCTACTTAGTGACAGAGACAGGATATAGATTCTGGCTGCCTGTCTTTTTTTTTTTTTTTTTTTTTTTGAGACGGAGTTTTGCTCTTGTTACCCAGGTTGGAGTGCAATGGCACGATTTCGGCTCACCGCAACCTCCGCCTCCTGGGTTCAGGCAATTCTCCTGCCTCAGCCTCCTGAGTAGCTGGGATTACAGGCACGCGCCACCATGCCCAGCTAATTTTTTTGTATTTTTAGTAGAGACGGGGTTTCACAATGTTGACCAGGATGGTCCCAATCTCTTGACCTCATGATCCACCCGCCTCAGACTCCCAAAGTGCTGGAATTACAGGCTTGAGCCACCGCGCCCAGCCAGCTGCCTGTCTCTTAACAATTGAGTGCACTGCTTCATCATATTGAAATAATAATACCAACCTTATAGGGGGGTGATAAAAACTAAATGATCTGATATCTGTAAAGCACATAAAGCCTGGCTTTATCTGTGAGGCACATAAATACCTCACTCCTAACAAATGTGCAATAGAAGGCAACTATTACTATTAAAAATAATAATAGCCTGGGTAACAGACTGAGGCTCTTAAAAAAATTAAATTTAAAAAAATCCAAATTTCCATATTTAAGTTGGTTGAATAAAAGAAACTTTAATTTTCTTGGATACTTAGAAATTTGCTAAAATAATCTTGTGCTACTGATTTCTTCCTCACTTTCTCCTTTCAACATATGATAAGTTATTTATAATGTTGACTTTCCAAAATAATGTACTTTTCTATTATAGCTCTACTTGCTACCTAAAACTTTAATAGGCTACTTTTTAAATTTCTCCTTTTACTCTAAGTATATGTAAGTCTTAAAGAATGTTGTCAATGAGAACCTAAATTCTATTGTTTTCAATAAGGAGCAAAAGTAAGATACTAAGGAACAGTTCAAAGCAAATTACTACATTTCAACTATGTCATCTAGAAATGCCATTAAGTTTGAACACTAGCTCTGCTTTCTGTATACCATGAGTCAGTAAACAAGTAAACACAGATGCAATATTCTACCCTAGAATATTGAACCCATTTTTCTACATTATCTAGTTCAAAATGAAAGACAAAAGAAGGAAAATTTAACACTTAGGATCCATTAAATATATATCGATGCACTTGTAAATACTGAAAACACAGCTAGTACTCAAAGAGAAATATTTTTAAATCAACCAAATCAAAATTACAAGCCATTTCTTTAAACCTTAATAATAAATGTTAACTAATTTATTACCTTTTTTAGGGTGTAAGCCTGCACTGGATTTCTTTTCCATTTGACTTAGATCAAGCAACTTAGAACTATATTAAAACTGACTCAGTAAAAGCAGTTATAAAAGAAGAAAAAAAAAATCACATGCCAATGAATTTCTATTACTATGTTATTTTGCCCTTTATAGCTTGTTTTTTCCTTAAGAGCAGTTTAGCTACAAAGCTGTCACGTGCCCTGCTCCAGGATTTACATTGTCTTTTACATGTTTAAGATCACAGGAACAACACGGAGCCTTAATAGAGAGTCCCTGGGGCACATTTAAATCTTTTATAACAACAAATTTTCTTCTTTCCTTTAAGTGTGCTGTATCGTGTATTGTACTACTGCATTTTCTTATAAGTCAGTGAGTCTAAATTCTCATAGCTATAGATATTCAAAAAAATATAGCTTTTCCTTTTAGAGAGTAGTGAAAAGGGGAAAAGAAAAACATTTGTAGACCTCTCACTTAACCAAAAAACACTCTACAACTTCAACAACAAGCATGTTTATCAAGAGGCTCTAACAGATAACACACTCCAAGATGTAGAACAAATAGGGAATTAAAGGCCCTTTGTCTGCTTTAAATGGACCAGCAAGCTTGGTTAAGAATGATGCCATTGGAATGAAATAAAAATCACATGTTAATTCCCACACAGGCCAATGAAATTTCCAGCGAAAAATTGTGAACATAACCTTTCCCAATTTATCCTAATCACTCAGCAGTGCTACAATTGCACGCCTTTGGTCACAAGGCCAACAACATGTAGATCATTCACTGGTAAACTAATAACACTATAGAAAAACAAGTCTGTTTTTCTATACCAACAACTACAAAAAAAAAAAAAAAAAAAACACCACATACCACATACTTCAGTAGGTGAATTAAACAGTCAGTATCATTTACTTGAAGGTACAAACTATCAAATCAGATATTTTTCCAGTAATATTAAATAATGAAGAAGTTGTATTGCTGAAAACTAGAAAATCATTGTTCTTACTCTATTTTATAATTAAATTATTCACATGGGCACAAAATAAGCTGAAACTTAACAGAATATAATGAGACTCTGATCCAAATCAGACCACATGAGCTATCATTGAAGTTACAAGTTGTTTATATTTATGTATATTAAAATTTTGAAGTAGCTTTAAAGACATTTGTAATATTTTCAATCAAGCAAAAATTCTATTAAGTACTGAGTATGTATAAAACACTATCATGGAAACTTTACTTAATTAAAATTTTTTTAAAGATGGAAAACTGATGTCTATCTCCAAAATTCTTTTTGGACACCTAACACAGCTCCAAACCATCAAACATCAATAAAATAATATATATTTTTAGAAGGGCTCTATATGCATAATACTGCAGAATTTTATTGCTTAGAACACATACTACTCATTTATATTAACATAGATTTTCTTGTCATGTTCTTTGAATTTCTAAATTATGCTTTTTCTCAAATCAAGTTAGAGATTCCTCCCTCATGAGAATTAGCTAAAGTAATGGAAAATTTTAGCCTTTAAGTTCATCCAGTTGGGGATTATCTGTGCCAACAAAAACCAAAACAAAAAAAAGTAAGTTTCTTTTCAAGGCAAAAAGCAAAACAAAGCATTCATATTCTAAATCCCTGAACCATTATCTAATTTAAAAATAGCTAGGTGGATATTAAATTGTTCAAAGAAATTTATTTTTCCACCATAACCAAGGAACGGAAATTCTGTACCAACAACTACAAAAAATAAAACCACATACCACATACTTCGGTAGGTGAAAAGTATAAATGCTTGATAGAAGCCCAAAAGGAATTAAATAATGATACTATTATGGTACCATATATACTTGGGAGATATCAAAGTAAGAGAGAAATTCAAAAAACTTGGTACGAATTGCACTGTGTGTATTTTTCAGGCAGAAATGGTAAGCACATAGTAAGTAAAGTCACAAGATATAACAATTCCTGTATTTCAAAGGGTAATATCCAATATCTTATAGTTAAGTAGGATTGATCATAAGTTAAATACTATTTCTGATAGTAACAGTAATCCTTAATAATATTCCTTACAGCAGCTCAAGGTTTCATTTTGAGAATAGCCTAGATTTGTTTTTTTCATTTGTATCTTCTTATAAGATGTTTATTATTTCAAGAATCCAAAGAATCCACAAGGGCTCTTATAGGAATTATCTTGATGGAAGAGACAGATGCTTTTTACTGACCTATTTTCCCCAACGAACAAACTTCTTGGTTCCACTATGCCGATACCTACGGAATCTACCACTGTTTAGGGCATCTAGTGCCAATGAACCCAAACAAGGTTATGGTTCAATCACCCATTCCCTTTGCTCTTTTCGTGGCCACAATCCTTACGCTAAACCTAGTCAAGGGCCTTAAAGAAGATTAACTAGACCAGAGACTATGAATGAATCAGCAGAAATTCAATACCATGACTACAAAAATAACTCAAAAGTAAAACCCCTATTGACTAGTGTCAGGATTTCATCCTTCAAATGTTATAAATTTGCCAACCTGCAAAAGCAAACCTTAATTACTTCATAAAAAAGCCAGTATGCTAAAAAGACATACAAGTCTTTTAACTTCTTTAATTCAAAAGCAACAATGGTAATGAGTATTATGCCCTAACATGCCATTGCTTTTACTGGAACAGATTATATTTTTATGCAATCTTTTACTTAATAAAAATCTTGCAAGTAAAGTTAAATGTGAGCCGAACAAGTACACTTTCCAGGATTTCCTTCAAAATCAAAAAACAAATGCTCC